AAATAATAAATAAACAATTTAAAAATAGTAAATTACAGTAAGGTTTTGTTATATGTATAATACATACTTAACATGTAAGTATTTTCATCTCTCCTTATCAATTTTTTTTGTTTTCCATTTTATCCTACCAAGTATGTCACAAGTATGTCATGATTATTTATGCTCTGAAATTATCAAAAAAAATTATAGGTAACACTTGCTTTCTAGGATCTTCCAACAACTTGACAAGGGTCATTTTTAGCAAAATCAACCAAACAATGTTAAATTCAAAACCTTACCACATCCACCATACAAACATATAGTGTTGTTCCAGAAGAGAAAAAAAAATTCACCAGTTCAATGGATCAAAAGTCATTTTTAGAGGTTAATATTCAATTGACAACTGACCCAGTAATTTTAAATTGACATTTTGCTCAAAACTATTTATTCTAGAGACATGTATTACAAGTCATTTTATTCTATAGTTTAAAAATATATATATTCAAAATAATTTTCAAAACAAATCTGCAAATTTCATCCAATTTACAATATTTCGACTTTTTACCTTTGGGTAAAAACCCTTCAAAAAATTCAAAATATGTCCATGGAAAGAGCAATGTCTTCATTTGCTGTAACAAAAAATTAACCAAACCCTTCCATTTGAAAAAACAATATTATGATAACACAACCTATCAACAAGTAGAACAAATGTTTTATTTGAATCAGATATAATATCAAGGCAGAAAGAAATAAGCACCTTTCAAGAAAAGTCACCCCCTTTTAAATAAGGGAACACTATTTATATGACACATGGAGATGTAAGATCTTGAATATTTTACATCCAATCTTAGATTCTGGAACTGAGTATGTTTAAGCCAGTAGTTTCTAAACTTTTTTCAATGAAAACACACTAACCCATTTACCTTGATTTGCATGAAATCCCTGCTACCACATTCAAAACATTTTTTCATAGCTTTTTTTTAAGTTCTTAATTACTCTTCATTTGGTGAAACTCTCGCAACACCCCTAGCACTTGCTACAACACATAGTTTGGAAACCACTGTTTAAGTATATTACTAGTGTAAAGACAGCACTAGCATCACTAGAGGGAAGTCCTGTAAGAAAACAGTATGTGAAGTAATACAAAAACATAAGTTTGGCTATAATCATCTACCAGTGATGTCTGTCTGACTTTGTGGGATAGTAACAATGATATTAATTTTTCTATTTTCAGACCACTGACCAAATCACAAAAGGCTGCAAAGACATGAGTTCAAAACAGCAACCAAAAATGTGAAGAAAATGCTTGAAAATAAATTTAATATTTTGCTTTTATCTAAGATTCCCAGTGGAAACTGGTGATGTTGAGCAGAAAATTAGATTTGGAAAACTATGATGAAGTGATGAAAGAGCAGAAGGAAAAATTTCATTCTCATTCTGGCCTATGCAGAAAAGATGAAACTTCCAATTTTCACTTTCTTTGTATTTTTCAAAAATACAAGAAAAAAATTAGTTCAACACCTTAAACTACTTTGTACAGTAAAGTATAAAACTACTTCAAAATGTCTGGATATTTAGTATGAAAAAACAAAACTACCAAATAAGAGAAACTGATTTGTGATTTTGAGAAAGTAATGAATACAGTAAGATGACACCTGTGAAGAAATAGGCTTCAAGAGCATTTAAAATGTTGAATTGGAGAGAAAGCTCACATGCAGAAGCGACTCAACCTGAAAGAACGGCTTGCAATTACAGAGAAGAATGGAACCCCCCTGCATCAAGACATCTCTGGAGCATTCTTGGAAACCCAAAAGGTACACACTGCATGAGTTATCACCAAAACCTACAATTGATTATTTCTTCTCTCATGCAAAAATTTAAATGGCAAAACTAAATGAGATCTGGAGTTAGAAAAAGGAATGGCAGATCTCCAGGATGAGGATTACTATAAATAAATCAAGCTTCTGGCTATTACTGACGGTGATGACAATTTCTTGGCACCAAGATTGTGAAACTAATGGACTCAGTCCTATTACCTGAGAGACAGTTGGACTGCTTATAAAACCATCATCCTAGGTGACTTTTCCAAGAACTATTCATTCATAATATATAATAAGGTCCAAGTCTTCTGTTAGGCAAGCTAAATGACATCCTTTCATTGTTTATTAGCACTCTAAAAATGGAAGTCTTGAGCACCTAAATTTTTCTACCATCAGTTAATCTTTTGAAATTTCAACAGCAACAGTTTTGCTCTGATTTCCTCCCTATAATAAAGGAAAAACTGCCCTATCTAAGAAAACCTAAGGACAATACAAAATCCAATGCAATTTTATCACATATTTGTCAGCAAAAAAATGGAGCTGTCAATGGAACTTGATAGTAACAAAAGAATAGACAAAAAGGCTGTAAATACAAGTTCACAGCATCCAATTCACTAGAAAATTTTATGAAAGGATTTAATTCTACAAGATGGCTTTTCTCAGCAAAATCATCTTTGAATATAAAATCAGTACAGCTGCTGAAATACTATAGATATGGTTAAAGTAATAACTAATTATTAAATACAACATCACTGGGCAGAATTGAAAATCTAGAAGAAACATGAGGTCAACATGTAAACTTGAAAGCAATAGGGCTACTGCCATGTAGATATTTTGGAGAATAACCAGCATTCTAACAGCAGCAAATACAACAATAATTGAACATAAGTTACACATATTACAAGCAATGGTAATAAATTCACCAAAAAAATAATGAAATCTACATTTTTATTTTGATATAAAACTAACTGAAAAAAAATATTCATTGAGTAATTTTCACAATCAACAATATTTCAAGATGTAAAATAATTCAGCTTTTTTAGTAAATTCACCTGCAAGGAAAATTGTTTAAAGATATATATCTTGCCATTATATTTAGAATAGACTTCCTTATAAGTTGCACATTAAAAAATAATAAGTCATCATGGAAAATAACATTGTAATAAACGAGGTGATATGCATGTTTTGCACATTATATAAAATAGACTTTCTTGTTTATTACTTTTATGCTTCTGTTTTATTAGCTAACATGAAAATGTTAATGAAAAGTTTCCCATGAATACTTGACTAACAATTGCATTTCCAAATACAAATTAATGGTCACTAGTGATTGAGTTCTACCAGAGAAATGAGTAGGTTTGTTTGAAGTTAAGCACAAAGCTACACAATGGGCTGGGCACAAGGGGGGGGGGGGTGTCCAAAATGAGTAGGATCTACCTTGAAAGTAAAAAGACTTATGCTTGTAAAAACTGATCTTATTTCTATAAGAAACATATATTGCATTCCTTTGAAAATTTTCAATGTATATCAAAATGGTTATATAGCTGAATAGCCATATAAATGCTGGATGGATAACATCCTGTAATTTCCTGTTACCATTTTTGGTTGATATCTTCCTTGAAATAACTTCAGCATTTAGTAGAGGGTCTACAGATACTACATCATTTTTTTTCTAATCCATCAAGCTTTAATTCTTCAAACTTACACTTTAATAAAAATTCAATGAGCTCCCTGTCTATCATGCCAAACTGGTTAACTTATTCCTGGCAGGCCAAAAAATCCAATATAACACTATGGGTATCATAAGGGTCCTTCATTAAAAAAACATTTCTTGGTTGTAAGTTTACTAACCAGGCAAAGAATGGTGTGAACAATCAAAATTTATCATCAAATCCAAAATACACCTCTATGAATAGTGTCTTCAATTTACATTTCTCTATGTAGTGTGTTGTTATATGTGTGTGTAGCACCAACATTCACACTATGCACTATCAACACATAGAGTCCAATATCAAGCAGCCAAGTAAAAAACATGTGTAGAATAGGAACTACAAACTACATATAAAAACTCTGTTTCATATATTAAATCATGAGCTACAAAACATGCAGTCAGTCTCCTCTTAAACTCCCTCACTATAGCAGCTTCTGAAGATATAAACATTATCTGGTCCACTTGTCTTATCTTCCTTCAATTTCCCAATCTTAAATCTTACCAGCTATGTTAATCCTAACTTCACTGAAGGATATCAGATAATCTTTCAGCAAAGGTGATCTACTTCCAGAATCGACTCTACACCATCTCTAGTAAAAACCGACAAAAGGAAATACCATTTACATGATCGACCATCTCATAATCATCAACAAAAACCCTCCAATCATCAATTCTAACATTCTGTTCCTCCTTAAAATTATTTCTTGCTGGTGTTAATATATTTCTCCAACCGTTCATACGCATCCAGTTTAACCAGTTCTCTAACGCTTCTCCAACTGTTCATAGGCATCCAGTTTAACCAGTTCTCTAGTGCTTCCTTAGACCTCTATATCTTTCATTCTAGCACAATGTTTAAATTTTCTGAATTAGTAATTCATTTCTTTAATTTAGCATTTGATTTCCTTTGTAAACCATTTGGACATATGTTTGGTATCTTAAGGTTCATATTAGAAAATGGGATAACCTTGATGGGCCAAATAGTGCCTTCTTATCCCATGGAAATGAAAAAAATACACAACAAATATAATTGTTTCAAGTAATAAAAGACAATTTCAGAAGAATTTTAATACTGTAATAGTTTGTATCATTTCAGAGTACATTATTCTCAAAAAATACAAAAATAATAACAGCTTGGAATATATTATTTTATTAATAATATTTTCTGATATTTGAGATTTCTGCATTTGACATTTCATTTCTAAAAACCAGTGAAAGTAATTCTCTTTCTCGAATCAGAACTTTGAGTTTCCAATTGAAACAAAATACGTGGCTGCTTTGAAGTGCTTTACCATGTCATAAATTATTTGTAGAATATCAAGTTGTTTTCACTGCAGAGTGCCAAGCTCAAACAATTGTTAAACATAAAGAGAAGATAATACCCCCAAAAATTATAAACTTTAGATTCTGTTGCATCAAGACAGTGTTCTGCATTTTTGTAAAACATGTTTTCTGAGATTACTTATTTTTACATAATCCCAAAAATTCATATGTTTAAGTCAGAAATTAACAGTTGTTTTTGTCATAAACGTTATATCTTATTTTTATATTTATTTCTGGGTGTTTATTAATGCTTAACACAACGTATTATATTGGAATTTACATGTATTATTGTTTGAAAAATATAGATTACCTTATTGCTCTCCATGCAATAAAAACAAAGCACCTTTCAGTTGTTTTACATTATAAACAGTGCATATATATGTACCTAATGGAATAAGAAAGTTTCTGCAAGCATTCAACAAGTATAAGAATTTTCACCAATAGTTAACACACTCAAGTGCAGATAGAAAATATATGCCTTTCAATCTATGCCAGTAAGTTACAGTAGAAAATACAGTGTGTTTGGGATATTACTCTATTTATTTGTGATTTGGTTGGAAAAAAAAGAATAGTTGACCTATAAGAGATGAAGAATGCACTTTTTGCAGTCAGTTTGTTTGGAGCTTATAAAAAATAATAATTACAGTAAGTGATGCATTATTTAAGTCTTTCTATTTATGATTTTCACACTTCACATATGTAGACTTGCTAAAGGTATTTGTCTGTAAGAAGAAGAACAATTTCTAGTGTTATTAATATGGGTAAACTTGTACTTGCTGTTGATTATTCCCAAAAACAATAAAAGAAAATTAGTATTGTAGAACATCTAAAAATGATTGTTTTAATATGTAATTATGTACAGAGTTTTTAACGGTAAAGAATTAGTAGCAAATTATCAAATCTATACTTATAAAATTCCTTAGATGTGTCATTAAACAGTTTCACTTTGTATATATAATAAAAACAAATGATGTAATTAATGGTGCTACTGAGCTTTCAAAACTTACACCTAACTTAAAACTTGTTTCTTTGGTATCATTAACTAAAACTGTCTTGAAGAATACAGACCTTTAATAAAGCAGGGGTATGTTATTTTTACACAAACAACAAGAAATAGAATCAAGAAAACACGTCAGAATCACAAGAAGGAAGTGCCATTTCCATGATTGATCATTGTATGACTAATAGTCAGCTGAAGTTAGCCAATGGATCAGCAGTGACAGTAGTGATTGGAGCATTTTACAAATATAGAGAGGTGCCAACAAATCATAACATGCCAATGAGTAAAGGATATGTCAGGGACAAAAAAATGAAGGTTCTGCAGGACATTGGGTGCAGTAGTGCATCAGTGAGAACCAGTTTAGTATCTGATAACCAGATGACAGGCAAGGTACGCCTGTGTGTGTTAACTGATGGTACAATGAGAAAATTTTCCATAGCAGAAATAAAGGTGGATACTCCATACTATGTGGGAGCAGTAATCAAAGTAGCCAATAGGAAAAAGAGCAAGCAAGATATGAAGCCTCTTAAGGTCTCGAAAAGTGGCATCCTGAATGTAGGTTCACAAGAGTGGGAGAAAAAAAAGTGTGGAAGAAAAACCCTTCTCTGCAGAAATTTTGAGGCAGTACCCAAGAGAAAGAGGAACAAGATCTATTGTGCCAGTATACAGAAAGATTCGGAAATACAGACCCTAGACAACACAAGATCAAGATGAAAACAAGGAATCTTGTCAAAGAGATGCCATACTGGAGACCCTACGATAGGAGAGACAGACAAAAAAAACTGTAAATGTTGGCATAGACTATATGAGAAGATTCAGTATATGAACCAAGAACAATCTTTGTATATAGTAAAAAAAATATTTTGTAAGTATTTCCCATGCAGTCTGAGTAACCCTACAAGGTGTAGTTGAGCTTGTACATGTACAAGTTTAAATTCCAAATATATTTCACCTTGCAACCAGAAACTTAGAAAGAAAAGCTATATATCTCTGTTCCCTTCTGACAGAAGCCATGCCCACTTTCAAAAGTAAAAATGGTGTTGATAAATGACAATTTTAACTTGAATGACATGCTTATAACCAATAGAAAGTGTTTTCCAGACAATAATCTCTCAAAGTTATCTTAAAACTGGTACAGAGTATGCATTTACAAGCAAGTCTAACAGCTACTATATATTGTTGAACTGTCCTCCACTAACACATACTATATAAATCAGTTTCATAGACAGTTAAATTGTACAGTTTTAATTTCATATTTTACTTAATTATGTATTTTTTGTTTTAAAATTCACATTTGAAGGGTTTAATGATTTTGTTAATATATTCTAAACTTCGCCTTGCTCTGCGAGGGTTACACTACTAAGCGAGTGCAAGAAAAAGTTGACGGAGGCTAACATGTCTCTGACAATAATTTTTGTTATATTGCCTGCAGCCACCCATTGATGTGTGTTGGCATAAATAATGAACAGTAAAGAACAAGAAAGGAAAATAAAACATGAAAAATAAACTGTAAGTGAAAATTCTGACCCACACAGTGGTGGGAATACACGATATAACAAATATAATCTACTTTTGCTTATCTGACAAACTTGTGTACATATATCACTATCAGAGAGCAGATATGGTTGCTCAAGTCCACCATATCCCACATCCTTACCACTGCTATCACATACAACATGATCAGACATAGCAAAATGGACTGTAATTACATGGTAAGGCTTCAAAATCATTTTATATAACTGTATTTTAGTTGAAAAACACAAGTTCATCATATTCTTACTATAAAATTTAACAATACATAAATATCTAACTTTAGTACAATTGATGAAGACCCTGCATTTAATTACTAAATGACAACCCAGAAACATTCTGACAAAAAAAGATTCTTGGGCTTGTAAAAGGCGCACACACACACACATACTCAAGTCATTGAAACTTTGCCTAAGAATACACTCTAGTCAAAAACTACAAAAGTCCATTTGTAAATAATTTGTTTCTGTTAATTAACAATAAAAAAAAAGTATGGTACCTGATTTTCCTTATACCAATTAATAGCATCTTGTAAAACTTTTGAAGCTGAGTCTTTGTCTTCCAGATTCAAGTACAGTGTCACCAATGCTGAAACCTAAAATGAAAAAAACATAAAACTTCAATCTGTCTCATAGCAATATATATATATATATATATATATATATACACACAGTCATTTTAAATATCATCTGTTCAACTGGTGCTTTCCATTTTTACTTTTGTCTCATTTTAAAATTTATTTAAACCCATCTGAAAAATTTGAATAACCACAACAGAAACTAGAAGTTTACAATAGCTTGGAAGAACTTTTATACAGATAGAGTTGTTAGACATTTAATTTAAAGTTCTTATATAACTTAGATTATTTATAAAATTTTCTGAGTGAATTTATAAGGATTGAATGGCATATCAGTAAAAAATCAGTTTCAATCAAATACACAGTTTTTAATTTTTAAGGTTTATAGAGAATTATCTAAAACCTAATATTACTGGTTTACATAAAACTGAAGACAATTAGAAACAATTTGAAGACAACTTACTATTCCTGGCTTATGAGATACATCAAGTGATTTCAGGATGTCACAAGCTTCATTAACATGACCTTGTGTCAATAACAATTGGACAAGTACAAAGGATACATGTAGTGATTCAGCAGGATTACTTGCAGCAAACCCCTAAAAACACAAACTCTGATTACATAAAACATCAAGCTGATGAGCAATTTTTTGATAATGTACTCTTGATTGTTTCTTCATATGTATGAACAACGTTTTATCCAACTGTTCAAGGACTGCTCTTGTAAAAATATTTAAATACAAAAATGTTTTTCATATAAGGCAATAACACTCAACACTTAGATCCTTTTGATCTAAGAGTAAGTTTGTGAAATAAGTACTATAAAATGTGATAAAAACAGCATAAAAAATACAAGCAATTACAAAATAAACCATTACCTTTGCACCACTGTAATAAATCTTTTCACAGACTTATAGAAAACAATAAGGTTTCATAAGAAAAATTACAATTAAATATCACTCCCATGTACCTTTTTCAACAAAGAAAACAATCAAATGAAAAAACAGCACATGAACAAGAAAATACAAGTATTTAAAGAAAAAACTGCATAGATAAACCTAAGATACAGACACAAAAAGACTTTTGAAAAAAAAAAAAATAAAAGTGTAAGAACTGTCTTAGTTTCCTTTCCAATTAACAATCATGGACATCAATATACGGAGGATTATTTGTACTTTGTAAGAACAATGTTCCAAGTCTTGGGGTGCCACTGTAACTATCTCTTCTTCTTTTTATTGCACTCACACTGATGGCCATGATCATTCAATATTGCTTAATGTCATAATTTATACTGTAGCATGCTTTTACCAAGGACAGGATGGTCAATCTTACACCACACACCTTGACAAACTTTCCACAGGCCCTCTATTGTTCATACACTTTGGTTTCTAAAATCAGGTTAAAGCAGACTAAAGGCAACAAAGTCCATTGGAAATACACTAGAGAACTTGTGGTCAAATAAGAAAAATAATTCTAGTTGCTTAACCCTTTTGATGTGTGCACATCATAAAGTTTTACAGTTACATTCAAAATAAATTAAATTAGCTTTATAGTGTAGTTTATAATTCAAAGTTTTATATTATCTAAGATTTAATTCCTTTATTTCAAAAGAATATTAAAAAAAAACAACTTAATCTCCAGTTTTGTTGTCATGTAATGTACAAACATTCAAAATTTTTAACTTTTAGTTTCTATAATTTGAAAAATACTAGACCTAGTTTTTATATGTATGACTAGACACAATATATATATATATATTACATTACTTACATGTGCTTATTTCAAAGTATCTTCAATTCAATTTTCTAAACAACCATGCGATCCCATGACAAAACTCATGCTCACTTTTGATAAGTTAGACTTGAGATTTCCAAACCACATGTACTTATTTTTCATCATTCATGTTTATAGCCAATAAAAAGCACTTATTTTAAAGCACAAGCCCCCAAAGATCATTTTAAAATTGGCAGGTAGCATTCACTGTGAAGTACAGCTAACTTCTGATAGTGGTGAAGCTGTTTCATCCTCTATGCCATATGCCATTTTTTTCTCACCTAGACAGATATTAGTTAAATCATACTTAGATTTTATTTTTATATTTTAATGAATTATGTATTTGTGTTCTAAAATGCATATTGAAAGATTTAATCATTTCTATATTATAACCCAAACTTCACCTCATTTCACAAGGGTTAATTTATTCCATGAGTGCAAAAATTTTAGCTAAAGGCTTGCATGTCTTTGCTGATAGCACTGTAACATGCTGTGATCTTCCTGTCATGGTGTGTGAAGATGAACAATAAACAGTAAAGGACAGACTATAACATTAAAAATTAACTACATGTGAAATGATAAAGAGGTGAAATTATGAATATAACCAAAAGAAGATATCTTAAGATTAATCCATGAATAATTAAAAGATTTCTACATATTGGTATTTTTTAATTTTTAAAATTTCATTGCATTGTCCATTAGTGATATGGTAGAGGAAATAAAAATAAAATATAAGCATTTACATTTCGAAAAATAGTTAAAATTCTGAATTTTCAAAGAATGTAAATCTAAAGAATTATAAAACAACTTCCAACTTTTTGCAATTAAACGAAATTGTAATTTAAGAAATAGTAATCATTATCTTAAGCTTAAGTCATCTTGTTAGCTGAAAAAAAAAATACAACCTAGATAATTTTGTACAAAAGTTCTTTGTTCAATTTTTGGATTTTACTTATTCAAAAATCATAATGAAAAACAAAGCAATAACTTTTTCCTAAAATAAGTACAGTCTAAAAATTATACAAATTAAACTTTCAAACAAACAATTATCATGCCTAATTTATTTTTTAAATATGTTTGCTGTTTCCATCAAAAATAAAAACATATAGCTGTTACTGAAACTAGCTGTACTCTTAGTAATAAACATTTCATTATGCTCGTTTCTATTTTAGAAGAATCTTTTATGTCTTTTTTTCCTGGGAAGAGCCTAATGATTCATAATATTCCTAGATAATGACAAAATACCTCATTATCATACATTCTACCAATAAAACCTAAAAATTATATTTTTTTTCTCATTTTACCAGTTTTAAGTTTTTGTAACAGCAATGATAATGCTATAACTGGTGTTTTTGGGTTAGCATAAGACAAATGGAGTTGTTATTCTCAACAAATATGTATTGACAATTTTATAAGAAAGCCAATTTAAAGCTTAGATTTAAATCCAACTACCAACAGAGAAAAGTTAAATTTGTAAAGAACTGCAAAATAAAAAATAACATGAAGTTCGTACTCAAGTTTCTCTTATTCTATATGTTATTTCCAAAATACATAAAAATAAAAAATACCTGCACTTTCAAAAGTTTAACTTCAAATAATATTTTTTTTTCATTACATTTTATCTTTTTTTGTGAAGAATTAATGTAGAATGAAAAACAGTTTTAAGTTTTCTAGGAAACTGAAATAATTAACATTTGATGATACCACTTTTTATACTAGTTTTCATTCAGTGTATACTTTAAGAAGTAATTCAGTTGTGTGCTAATTTAGTTTTTAATAACTACTAATATATTAATGAGTTGACAGAATCAGTTTATCACTTTTCCTGAACTTACTGCAAAACAGTCTCATTCTGTACTGATGATCATATTAACAGTTTAGCTAAGGTGGCAAGAGTAACATTCAAGTTAACCCTAAAGATACTCACAGGGATCAACTTTTGGTGATTGTGATGATCAATGATTAAAATTTCACAAAACTACCATTTTGTTGTATCACTAGTACAAAACATCTGTTGCCTAAGCGTAACCTCTGAAATGTACACCTTTATTTATTTTTCCAGTTTTACAAATGTTATGATGGAGCAAGTAATTTCCCAAATGTAAGAGACATGAAATCCTGCCTGGAAACCTTACATTAAATCTTGTTATATGTAATAATTTCCTTAAAATTAGTTTATTAGTCATGTACTGAAGCACAAAGTACTTATTAAAGTAGACAAAGCTGCTTCAAAGAATGCATACATCTATTGGATGATAAATCTAAAACATTACCATTAAAATTCCAAGCAAGTAGTTATATTTCATCTTTGTATAAAAAAAAAGTGAACATGTGTATAAATGGTATTATCTCACTTAATTAACGAAATTACTGAATTTGAAAAACTACTTTCAGAAAAAATCTGAATGTAAAGACAAGAGTCATTTCAAATTATCCAGGATACTAAAGGCCTTAGTATATATATACACAAAACTTAAAACATAAGAACAGTTGTGTGAACAATAAGTTACAAATATGTTTTCTTAATAAAATTCAGCAGATTTTTTTGAGATTCTTTAACCACACGGGTCATTTGAGAATTAATAAAATATATTTAAACAAAATATTAAAGCCAAGTTATTAACCTATAGTTAATCCAAAATATGGATATGTGAAACAATAAAAATAAAAAACATGTTAAACTTTTATGAAAACAAGAAGGACTTTCCTAACCTTTAATAACTCTATGGCTTTCGGAACTTGTTTTTCTCTACTGTAAATTGCAGCTTGAAGTAGAATGACATCTGAAGAACTTTCAGGGAAACTCTTTGCTAATTTATCTAACTGCTTACGACATAGATCTGACTGATTAGTGTGATACAATAGCAAACAATGATTTAGAGCTATTGCTTTTCGCTGCATGTTTGTCATTTTGGACTCTAGTCCATCTCCTGTTGCAATTTTAATCTTTTTCTTGGAATCAAACACATTCTGGTCCTAAAAAAAAGATGACAATAAAAACAAATTATGTATTAATTGATAATAATTACTAATCAATGAAAGCTACCTACGTTAAAATAAAGTTGACAATGAGTATAGTTAATGAAATATACTGTTCTTACTTATGAAGATAGAATGTATTGTTTCATCAGTTGGACAGCTTTACTAACATTTTTATTGATAACAATACCATGTCACAATTAATGATTTTGCAGTTCACTCTACTTAAAACATAACTTTATTTTTATACGTGAATATAATTTACCTGCAAAAAAAAGAAAAACTTGCTTAATTGCTAAACTACTAAACTTCACTGATTGTTTGTTAATAGGTATAATCTTCTAAAAATCATATATATTTTAAACTAGTTATTGCTAATACTTACTTTTTGGGTTCTGCTTAAGATCAAAAACTTAAAATTTCTATTTAAGTCTTACCATTTGGCAAATTAAATACTTGTTAACATGTATCTAATGTCAGGATGATTCATAAGTCCATTAATAGGCAACCAATTCTGAAATGGAATGGTAAAGGAAAATAATTTCAAGGGGTGTGGGCCTATCCTGTAACAATATCATTGAAGTCCTATACTATATCCTGTTGAAATTTTATTAAGAAGCACCAAACACCCAAACTGACAATGAAAAAGGCATTTACTATAACAAATGAAACCTTTTAAACCAAAAATGTCCAAAATCACTTATTGAGAAAAACGGTTATTGGTAAAACTTCATATGAAGCTGTTCCACAGAAGATCAAAATCAAACCATAGCAGAGATTGTTATACAAGCCTAGTTTTAAGGTCAGACTTTTACATAAGAGATCATTGCACTCTTAAAGGTTCATAAAGATCAAAAAGCATTAAAAGAAAAGCACTCCTACATAAGACAGCACACAAGCACTGTTCTTCAGATGCTCCCAAATCATCTAAATAATGGCACAGGTTTCATTGCAAGAACATTCCATCATGGTTCTATTGAATGGAGTGTGTCATCAGAATGCCTGGCTATTGCTAGCTCATAAACCAAACAATTTCCAGGTGAATGTCATCCTTCATATCAAATGAAAGTAAATGTCAGTCATTACTGAGCACTGCAGGTTTATTTATGCACATATGGAGCATGGTCAAACCCAGAATAGGAATCTGTGGTGAGAATGAAGCCATCATATTGGCATTTGTAACATTGGGCAGCACTTTATCTGAGCACTGCAGGTTTATTTATGCACATATGGAGCATGGTCAAACCCAGAATAGGAATCAGTAGTGAGAATGAAGCCATCATATTGGCATTTGTAACATTGGGCAGCACTTTATCTGAGCACTGCAGGTTTATTTATGCACATATGGAGCATGGTCAAACCCAGAATAGGAATCTGTGGTGAGAATGAAGCCATCATATTGGCATTTGTAACATTGGGCAGCACTTTATCTGAGCACTGCAGGTTTATTTATGCACATATGGAGCATGGTCAAACCCAGAATAGGAATCAGTAGTGAGAATGAAGCCATCATATTGGCATTTGTAACATTGGGCAGCACTTTGATTACAGCTACTGATAATTTATAATAATTTCATATTACTGTCAGGTTGATATCTCATCTGCATTAATGCCTACACTATTTTGGTAATTTTGGGTTTGGAATATTATATTTATTATTATCTACATTTCTGTATTTGGCATCTTTGGTGTATGATACATTTAAAAAAATTGAAATTGACTTTGAATAACCTCAGTGACACTGTCAAAGGGTAGACATATAACATTCCATCCCTTTCCATTAATAATCGCTTCCTTATATCTTGCTGTTTCTCAATTATTTGCTTTGTTAATATACTTCTAAGTCACCTGGTATAAATAAATAAACCTTAACTATTACATAAACATTTACAAAAATTTCAGTTAAAATTCTTTATACAAGCTCAGTCTCCAGTTTTTTTTTTTTTATAGTTGTGTATCAGGTGAAAGTAAAAATTCTAAACCTTTTCAAAATGATAAGAAAGATATCAGGAGAGTAAAGGAATTTGTGCACTAGCCATCTTTCAATATTTAGAGTAACAAAAACCACAACAGAAAGATAGGACTTATTGACACAAAACAATTTTATTTTAATGTGAATTTTTGTTTAAAAAGTTGGAAATAAATATCTTTCATCCTTGCTTATCTTCACAATACCAAAACTAATCAACAAATACCAAGACTGGATGTTTAAGATTAACCTTTACTCCTAATTATCACTAGAATGTTAAATATACAAAATCTATGTAATGATGCAGTATCTACAGGCACAACACTCACTCCAGCCAAGTTTGAAGGATGGAGTAACACTGTTATGATTCTGTACAGGACAGATCGTTTTGGCTCAATCTAGGATATTGCCAAAGCTTTCCATAAACTGCAATGACACTATTCTTGTCTTTGAACAAATGTAAAAACTGTTATGTTAAAATTAAAAACAGCAGCTTCATATCTACTTTAGATTAATCAATCAAAAATTGTAAAGTTATTGTTGTTCTTGTTGAAAAGACAAAACATATAGTAAACAAAGGGGGACTGCTATGAAACAAATTTCCACTTGTAGGTTAATACTGCAGATATATTATTATTTCTTATAAATATACATATTTTTTTATAATTTTAGTGGTGAATCATTCTTTACAGCTACTAGATGGAAACTGATAAATTAAAGGCTTATGGAATATAAAGCAGGGAATGATGTAATGGTCTAAGATGCTGTATTTGCAACTTCAAATTGAATCTTATTTTTAAATATTTTTAAATTAATAATGAAAACAAAAATTTGAGCTATCTGTTCAAAATATTTCACATGAACAAAAATAGCCATGTAAGAGTAAAGAGGCCAAAGGTTGGTACAGACCACCATATATTTGAAAAAAACAGAACCCACCAAGGTAGGAAGACTATGGATGCTAAGGCAGTGATAAGAGATTAGCTTCATACTGTAAAGAAAGATGAAAATATCTGAGGTGGTGTGGATATTCATAAGAATCTGTATACAAACTCTGGGCCAAAAAAGTGTGAAAAGCCTCTGGTGATGCACAGGGTACAATATCTTTAAAGGAGAGTCCCTGGCAAAGGCACAGATTAGAGACACATAGTATAGCTTCAATCAAATGAGGGAACAACAGATCTTAGGCATAAAATACCTATAAGCTTCCCAAAATGTGTAAGACAGGATCTGGAGGGTGTTCACTGCCTTGGTACACTTGTGTCAAGTTATTGACAAAGGGAACTCCTAAAATCTTAGTCCTAGCTACCATGCAAACTTATGCACCTCCCAAATGGAACTAAGGGTTAGAGTGCAATTCCTATTAGAGGCAGAAATGCATGCAAACACTCAGATTACAAACATCTGACAACATTTACAGTAATTCATTCATATAATCTATTGAGGACAGTTTGGAGTTGCTGTTCTATGTTCTTCATATTCTATGACCAACAAGAAATTTGAAAGTCATTGACATAGAGGCTGTTTCCAACCGTGTGAGGAAGTTTTTCAGTAATAACATTGATCTTAATGGTAAAAAGTGTGACACTCAAGACACAGACATGAGGTTCTCCAAGTACCTGTGTGAAGGATTGGGATAGTGTTTACATGTGGGTATTATTATTAAATTGCATGTGTGTGTGTAAGTGCATCTTTTTATGAAGCAAGGTAGCAAAAAACCACATAGGAAAGAGTATGTGACCACCATAACACCAAGAGGAAAAACCTAAAAACTTGACATTTTGCACCCACACTAAGTGGGCCCTGAGAGTGTGCAACCAAGTATTATTACTAATCCATGTGTACACGCCCATCTTTTTACAAGGCAAGCTAGAAAAAAAAACACATAGAAAAGAAGTGATTCTATGTTACAAATAGAAATCAAAGACACACACACATGTATGTGTGCATGCATGCACATCTTAATGAGACAAGCTAGCAAAACCACATAAAAAAGAAGTGGTTTCTTATGTAACAACTTCTAATATATAGACAAGCCAGTGCATTTGGGTTACAAAGCATTTCAACAATGGCTTTTATGTCATGTTGCTTAGCAAGAAAAGTATAAAGGTTATACTTTTATGCTAAAATGGGTTCAGAATACATGCACTGACACAGTCATCTGGAATAGATCAACCTAATGGCCCGAGCAAAGCTGGGTACTTACGCTAGTTTGTAATGTAAGGAATGACTTCTTTTCTATGTAGCTTTTCACTACCTTGCCTCATTAAAAAAAAAAAGATGTACACATGCATGTTGATAAGTAATAATACCCAGGTGCACACCCTCAGGGTGCACTTAGCATGTGTGTAAAATTTCAGGTTTCCAGGTTCTTTCCTCTTGGAGCTATGGTGGTCACACACAGATACACCCTTTTATTATTATAGATAGACAACTAGTTCAAAAAAGAAGGTGCAGTTCTTTCAGCCTATGTCTTGATGGCCAAGAAGGCAGGTGGAGGTGCTGGAGTTGTAAGCAAGACATTCTCTCCAAGGGTTTTAAAAATATCCTGTAAAACAGCAACTTCTTAGTCATTGGATTACAATGTCAAAATAGAAAGGGATGTATATTCTCCATTCACTTTTCAAATCCTGTCTCCAGCATCTTTGAAACTGGCAGTAGAATAGATGTTGGATGTGACTTTAATCCAATATTCCTTCTGGCTTTGATGTTTAACCTGCTGGGTATGTCAATGAGCCTTCTAAACAGCCAAGAGATTGATTAGAGTGGGATATCAATAAAAGATATCCAAGGTTCACTTCTGAGCCTTCTATGCCCACTGGCAGTCAGTTCTTCAGCATGGACAAGGATACTGTGAGATATGTGAGAATGGTGAAAGTGGGCCGATCGCCAGGTTCCACTGGGATAAGCAAAAGGGGTGGCAATGAGAGTGATCAATCTCATCGAAGGATGGACAACTACCAAGAAAATTAGGGAGGGTTAAAGATGGACAGATTAATGCTAATAAATGTGTAACTCAAGGGATGGA